TCAGCCTAGCTCACAGCAACCTCAAACTCCTGGGTTCAAGGAATCCTCCTGCCTCAGCCTCCCAAGTAGCTGGGACTACAGGCATGTGCCACCATGCCTGGCTAAATTTTTCTGCATATTTTTAGTTGTCCAGCTAATTTCTTTCTGTTTTTTTAGTAGAGATGGGGTCTTACTCTTGCTCAAGCTGGTCTCGAACTCCTGAGCTCAAATGATCTGCCCACCTCGGCCTCCCAGAGTGCTGGGATTACAGGCATGAGCCACCGTGCCCAGCCAATCTGCCTACTTTTAATTATTTTTTATTGGGATAAAATTTACATAACATAAAATTAACCATTTTAAAGCAAACAATTTAGTGGTATTTAGTATATTCACAGTGTTGCGCACCCAACACCTCTATCTAGTTCCAGAATACTTTCATCACCCTCAAAGGGAAACCTTGGACTCATTAAGCAGTCACTGTCCTTTCTTCTCTCTTCCCAGCCCCTGGCAACCACTAATCTGTCTTCTGTCTCTGAATATTTACTTATTCTGAATATTTTATGTAAACAGAGTCATACCATATGTGAAGTTTTGTGTCTGGCTTCAAGTTTCATACATGTATATTTTCAAGTTTCATACATGTCGTAGGATGTAACTGGGGCTTCATTCCTTTTTATGGTTGAATAATATCCATTGTATGGATATACCACATTTTGCTTATCCATCATCTGCTGATGGATATTTGGGTTGTTTTCATCTTTTGGTTGTTAAGAATAGTGCTGCTATAAACATTTGTGTATAAGTTTTTGTTTGAATGCCTATTTTCACTTCTTTTGAGTGTATACCTAGGAGTGGAATTGGTAAGTCATATGGTAATTTTATATTTAACTTTCTGAGGAATTGCCAAATTGTTTTCCAATGTAGGAAACTGGCTCCACCATTTTACACTATCAGCAATGTACGATGTACAAGGATTCCAATTTTTCCATATCCTTGCCAACATATATTATTTTTTGTTATTATTATTGCTATTCTAGTGGATACAAAGTGGTATCATTGCAGTTTTGATTTGCATTTCCCTAATGGCTAATGATGTTGATCATCTTTGCATGTGCTTATTGACCATTTGCATACTTTTTGAAGTCCCTTTCCCATTTAAAAATTTTTTTGTTGAGTTTTAGGAATTCTTTATAAATATTCTAGATGTTAATCCCTTATGAGACATATGATTTGCAAATATTTTTCTCACTCGCTATGACTTGTCTTATCATTTTCTTGATATTATACTTTGAAACACCAAAGGTTTTAATTTTGATGAAGTCCAATTTATCTATTTTTTTCTTTGGTTGATTGCGCTTTTGGTGTTATAGCTAAGAAACCATCACCAAATCCTGGGTCATGAATCTTTCTCCCTATGTTTTCTAGGAGTTTTATGATTTTAGCTTTCATATTAGGTCTTTGATCTATTTTGGGTTAGTTTTATATAGAACATGAGGTAGGGGTCTAAATTCATTTTTTCACATGTGAGTATCTAGTTATCCCAAGACCATTTGTTTACTTTTTTAAACAATTTTTTGTCATGCTTTATTTTTCCATTTCTTTTAACAGGATGACCAAAGACACAGTAGTCTGTAAATACATGTCCAAGAAACTGCCAGCACCATTTGTTGAAGACACTACTCTTTCTCCTAATGAATAGCTTTGGCACCCTTGTCAAAAACCAGTTGACCATAGATATATGGGTTTATTTTTGGACTCTCAGTTTTATTTCATTGATCTATATGTTTGTCATTATGTTAATATCACACTGATTATTTGATTACTATAGTTTTGTAGTAAGTATTTTGATCAAGAGGTCTGAGTTCTCTAACTTTGTTTTTCTTTTTCAAGTTTATTTTGGTTATTTTGGTTTATTTTGGTATCCCTTGCAATTTCATGTGAATTTTATAATCAGATTTTTCCATTTCTGCAAAAAAGGCCATTGGGATTTTGATAGGGATTGCATTTAAGCTGTAGATTGCTTTGAGTGTGATTGCCATCACAACAATAGTAAGCCTTCCATCCTATGAAAATGAGATAGCTTTCTATTTATTAAGGTTTTCTTCAACGTCTTTCAACAACGATGTGCAGATTTTGGTATCAAAGTCTTGAATCTTCTTGATTAAATATATTCCTAAGTATTTTATTCTTATCAATGCTATTGTAAGTAGAGTTTTTTTCATAACTTGGGGGAGTTGTTCATTGCTTGATTGTAGAAATACAACTGATTTTTATGTGTTAATTTTGTGTCTTTCAACTTTGCTGAACTCATTTATTAACCGTAATAGTTTTTTTTGGTGGAATTTCTATATATAAGATCAGATTGTCTGTGAATATAGGTTGTTCCACTTCTTTCTTTTTAATATGAATGTTTTTTGTTTATTTTTCTAGCTTAATTGCTATAGCTAAAATTTCCAGTATAATGTTGAATAGAAGTGGTGATAGCAGACATCCATGTCGTCTTCCAGACCTTGGGGGAAAGCTTTCAGTACTGAACATAATGTTTATGTGGGCATTTATTTATTTTAAAATCTTTTTGTACCCTGAATTTGAAATAGGAAGTGAAACTGCACAGGTAGGACACCTAGGACATTCTCTGAAAGCACATCCATTCTCACAGATGATCACTGTTGATATTTAGCAAATTGATTATTAAATGTACCTTAATTTTTTTTTAAATATGACCTAGTAGATACTGTTTTTATTGCTAAAACAGGCAGCAAAACCTGATGTTTCATGTTACATTTTGGATAATGGGAGTTATCTTAGTTATTATACATTTTTATCATGGAACGAAGCATTTTGCAATGCACCATTTTTGGGAACGTGATTGGCTATTTTAATATTTGCTTTTTGTTTTAAATTACAGATTGGTTTTGTCCTGTATCCCCCCAGTGGAGCTCCTGCATGGAATCTGATGGATAATGACAACGTTATGTTTCTCACCATATGCTTTTGTTGGCATTATGCATTAAGCTTTATCATCATTGGAGTGAATTATGCTTTTGTCACCAGGTAAGTTAGTTACTTCTGTTCATGGAAGTTTTGCTCCTTGATGATCATCAAGACTCAATAATGTTGAATTTAAAATTCAAAAGGGGATTTCATTCCTTAACATCCCACCAGACAGGGTAACACAGCAGAAAATTATCTGCAAATAGAAATTCGCAGTAAAAAGAATAAATGTTGGTTTAATGTTGGAATAGCTCAGCAGTATCTATGCTGTGCCTCTGACCCATGCATTACCCATCAACACAGTTTTCTATGCCTTGCTGTCTTTGTATATGCTACTTGCTCTTCTGAATGGTTTCTCCACCCACCACCTGCAGTGAGGCCTCCAGTTACCCAGGTGTGCATACTTCAATTATAGCAATTCTTAAGCTTGGAGTCGGTTTTTGACCAACTTTTGTGTGTCTCATTAACTTCAAGTGTCTGGTTAATTTGGCATTTACTCTAATATGTCTAAAAATAAGATTCAGTTGAATAATACATTTTTTTGCAAGGACCATAATATAATGTTTCATGAGTGGGTGAGGAACAATATAACAGATTGATAAGAACACACATTCTTAGCTCCACTGTCTATGATCTGTACGACTTTGGGCTAGTTACTTAATCATGTTAAACCTCAGTTTTGTTTTTGACTAATGGAGGTAATAATAGTACCTAAAGGAGATCATGTATTTAAACTGCTTAGGACATAATGAGAGCTCAATAAATGTTATTGTCTTCTTCTTGTTCTTGTTGCTCTTGTTCTTGTTCTTTTTCTCCTCTTCCTCCTCTTCCTTCTCCTTCCTTTTTGGTATCAAAAAACGAATGAGGTATAGACTGTGCCCATGAGGAATTTTTAGTCCTATCATTAGGACTAAATTATAATGATAGGCAATCAAAATATTGTGCAATAAGTGGAAATAATAGGCGAATAAAGCCCTATTGGAGCTCAGGGAGGGCATCCCCACAACTGAGGATGAAGCTGCATTTTGAAGAATGAGCAGGAATAGTAAGGGATGGTTATAGTTCTTCTCTCTAAGGAGGTTAACGCCAAACCACAATGGGCTTGGCTGATCCCAATTACTAGGCAGAAAGGCTCTGGTGCCTAATCCCTCAGACTTCAGTGCTGATCAGTTCTATGCCTGCAGTGTTCTCTATCTACAGTGTTCAATATGGTAGTCACCAGGTAGGGAACAATTAAAATATGGCTAGTGCTACATTAATTTTAATTAATCAATTTTTAAGTTTTTTTATTTTCTTGGTTTTTAAAAAAATTTCAGAATATTACAGGGGTACAAACATTTAGGTTACATAGATTGCCTTTGCCCCATCTGAGTCAGAGCTACAAGTGTGCTCATTGCTCAGACAGTGCACACTGCACCCATTAGGTGTGAATATACTCATCCCCTCTCTCCATCCCACCTGCCCAACACCCGATGAATGTTACTACTATATGTGTACATAAGTGTTAATCAGTTAGTACCAATTTGATGGTGAGTACATGTGGTGCTTGTTTTTCCATCCACTTGACTTAGTAGAATGGGCTCCAGGTCCAACCAGGATAATATAAGATGTGCTAGATCACCATTGTTTTTTGTGGTTGAGTAGTACTCCATGGTATACATATACCACATTTTATTAATCCACTCATGTATTGATTGGCACTTAAGTTGTTTCCACATCTTGGCAATTGCGAATTGTGCTGCTATAAACATTCAAGTGTAGATGTGTTTATTATAGAATATCTTTTTTTACCTTTGGGTAGGTGCCCAGTAATGGGATTGCTGGATCAAATGGTAGTTCTACTTTTAGCTGCTTGAGGTATCTCCATATTACTTTCCTAGAGCTTGTACTAGTTTGCAGTCCCACCAGCAGTGTATAAGTGTTCCTATTTCTCTGCATCCTCACCAACATTTGTTGTTTTGGTACTTTTTATAAAAGCCATTCTCACGGGAGTTAAGTGATATATCATTGTGGTTTTGATTTGCATTTCCATGATGATTAGAGATGTTGAGCATTTTTTAATATGTTTGTTGGCCATTCTTAGTCCGTCTTCTTTTGAAAAGTTTCTGCTCATGTCCTTTGCCCCCTTTTTAATGGGGTTGTTTGATTTTTTTTCTTGCTGGTTTTCTTGAGCTCTGTATAGATTCTAGTTATCAGCCCTTTATTGGATGTGTAGCATGCAAATATTTTTTCCCATTCTGTAGGTTGTCTATTTGCTCCGATGATAGTTTCTTTGGCTGTGCAGAAATATTTTCATTTGATCAGGTCCCATTTATTTATTTTTGTTGTTGCTGTGATTGCCTATAAGGCCTTCTTCATAAATTCTTTGCCTACACTATGTCTATAAGAGTTTTTCAAACATTTTCTTCTGGAATTCTTACAGTTTCATGCCTTAGGTTTAAGTCTGTTATCCATCACAAATTGATTTTTGTGAGTGGTGAGAAGTGTGATCCTGTTTCAGTCTTTTACATGTGGCTATCCTATTTTCCTAGCACCATTTATTGAATAGGGATTTTTCCCCCAGTGTATGTTTTTGTTTGCTTTGTCAAAGATCAGATGGCTATATGAGAATAGTTTTATTTCTGGATTCTCCGTCCTGTTCCATTGGTCTATGTCTTTGTTCTTGTGCCAGTACCATGCTGTTTTGGTTACTCTAGCCTTGTAGTATAGCTTGAAGTCTGGTAAATTGATGCCTCCAAATTTGTTCTTTTTGCTTAAGATTGCTTTTGCTGTATGGGGTCTTCTCTGGTTCCATATGAAGCATAGAATTATTTTTTCTAGAGCTGTGAAAAATGATGTTGGTATTTTAATAGGGATTGCATTGAATCTGTAGATCACTTTGGATAGTATAGACATTTTAACAATGTTGATTCTGCCAGTTTATGATCATGGTATGGTTTTTCATCTGTTTATGTCCTCTGCTATTTCCTTCCTCAATGTTTTATAGTTTTCTCTGTAGAGGTCTTTACCTGTTTAGTTAAATATATTCTTAGGTATTTTATTTTCTTTGTTGGTATTGTGAAAGGTGTTCTTTCTTTGATTTGGTTCTCAGTTTGACTGTCGTTGGCAAATATGAATGCTACTGATTTGTGTACATTCGATTTGTATCCTGAGACATTGCTGAATTTTTTAATCAATTCTAATAGTCTCATGGCAGAATCTTTGGAGTTTTCTAGATATAAGATCATATCATCAGCAAGGAGCAATAGTTTGACCTCTTCTGCCCCTATTTGGATGCTCTTGATTTCCTTCTCTTGTCTAATTGCTCTAGCTAGGACTTCCAGCACTATGTTTAATAGAAGTGGTGATAGAGGGCAACACCTTCTGGTTCCAGTTCTATCTAAGTGGGAATGTTTTCAATTTTTCCCGGTTCAGAATAGTGATGAATGTGGGTTTGTTGTACATGGCTTTTATCATTTAGAGATAAATCCTGTCTATGCCTATTTTGTTAAGTGTTCTTATTATAGAAGCATGCTGAATTTTGCTGAATGCTTTTTCTTTGTTTATTGAGAGGATCATATAGTTTTTGCTTTTATTTCTATTTATATGGTAAATTACATTTATAGATTTGCATATGTTAAACCATCCCTGCATCTCTGGGATGAAGCCCATTTGGTCATGATGAATTATTTTTTTGATAAGAACCTGAATTCGGTTTGCTAGGATTTTGGTGAGAATTTTTTGCCTCTATATTCATAAGGAATATTGGTGTCTGTAGTTTTCTTTTTTTGTTGAGTCCTTTTCTCGCTTTGGTATCAGGGTGATGTTGACTTTGTAAAACATGTTAAGGAAGATTCCTTCCTTCTCGATGTTGTGGAATAATTTCTGCAGGATAGGCGCCAATTCTTCTTTGTAGGTCTGGTAGAATTCTGGCGTGAAACCATCTGGTCTAGGACTTCTTTTTTTTTTTTTCTTTAGGAATGTTTTTTTATTGCTGCTTTTATTTCAGTACTTGATATATTGGTCTGTTCAGGAATTCTATTTCTTCCTGCTGGAGTCTAGGGAGGATGTGTGTTTCTAAGAATTTGTCTATTTCCTCCATATTTTCAAGTTTATGTGTGTAGAAATTATTATGGTATTCATAGATATTTTGTATTTCAGTGGTATCAGTTATAACTTCTCCTTTTTAATTTCTGATGGAGCTTATTAGAGTCCCTTCTTTTCTGCTTCTGGTTAATCTAGCAAGAGGCATGTCAGTGTTGTTTATCTTTTCAAAGAACAAACTTTTTGTTTTATTGTCTTCTGTATAGTTTTTTGTTAAAGATTTCATTTAGTTCTCATCGATCTTGGTTATTTCTTATCTTCTACTGGCTTTGGGATTGGTTTGCTCTTCCTTTTCCAGTTTTTTGAGTCAATTCATTAGATTCCTGAATTGTGATCTTTCTGTCTTTTGCATGAAGGCATTTATGGCTATAAATTTTCCTGTCAGGACTGCTTTAGCTGTGTCCCACAGATTTTGATAACTTGTGTGCCCTTTATCATTTAGTTCAAAGAATCTTTTGATTTCCATCTTAATTTCCTCCTTGACCCAATAAACGTTCAACAGCAGTTTGTTTAGATTCCATGACTTTGTGTAGAGTATTTCTGTTGGAGTTGATTTCTAATTTTATTGCGCTGGTCTGAGAAGATGCATGATATAGTTTCTATTTTTTAAATTTCATTTAGACATGTTTTGTGGTATAGGATATGGTCAATCTTAGAGAATGTCTCATGAACTGATGAGAAGAATGTATATTCAGTCATTTGAAGTATAATGTTCTGTAAATGTCTGTCAGACCAAACCCATTTATTCTAGAGTTCTGTTTCAGTCCATTTTTCCTTTGTTTATTTTATGTTTGGAGGATCTATCCTGTTCTGTCAGAGGGGTGTTGAAGTCCCTGGTTATTACAATGGTGCTGTTTATCATTTTGTTTAGATCAAGTAGGATTTGCTTTAGGAATCTGGATGCACCTGAGTTAGACGCATAAGTATTTAAAATTGTTATCTTCTTGTTGAATTTTCTCCTTTACCATTATATAATG